TGTCTGCCAGTTCCCTCTTCCTGCTGCAAACTCACAGTTTTGCCTCTTGTATTGTCCTTGAGTGCCCCTTGTCCCCCAAGAGCAGCATTTTGGGGAGATCAGTGGGCTGCAGCGGGAGAGGGAGGAACATTCTGTTCCACTGGCAAAACTGCTTTTCGTGAGCAGAAGGCTTAGTCTGGCTTCAGCCCTCAGTGAACTTCATTACAACTGTGTAATTCAGCAGTAGCTGTACTAGATTCTCTCCCCTCCCCCCGAAAAACTTGAGAGGCTTTTAACCCTTTGAGAGTAAGACATCTTGAAGTCTTAGGAATTAGAGATGTGTACCAAATACTGTATTGGCACATGATTATCATAAATTAAACCTTGGTACATGTTTTGAATTGTGGTATCTTCAGGGCCTTTTTCTCCAGCAATGGGGGAACAGTAACTTAAAAAAACAAAACAAAAAACACTTCAGGATGTTTTTGAGTTTGTTGATACCGGCTTTTAAGTGTTCCCAGTTGCAGAGGAAAGTCTCTGATTTTTTTTGTTACTTTCTAAGAGAAAAATAGATGTACCCTTGCATTTTTAATATCCTTTTCCTTCTCAAGTCTGTTTGTTGAGGGGAAAAGACAACAGTGAGAGAGCCATTGGTTACTCAGAGCCAAATATGCATTCTTGTATTCTGTTGTATGTTGCAATAGTGTTTTTAGCAAGTAAACAGATCTGCAGTTCCTCTACTGGCAAAAATAATGAATATAGATGAGAATTTGGCCAATCTGGAGCGGTATTTAAAATGAAACATAGCCAACTTGTTTGCTTTGCTTTAGCAGGAAAGATGAGGCTTCAGAAGCCCAGAGGAGTATTTCAGTTATTTATTGCACAATTCAACAACTGTTTGCTATTTTATTCTCTTCTCCTCCATTTGCTGTTTTATTGGGACATTTTTAACCCACTTTTCTCTGCTCAGCTGTGGGCTCAAAGCAGATTACAATGTCAAGCACCTACAGAAAACCCGTCAATAATGCAAATATTTAAACCTAGGTTAATTAATAATCCAGCAGCAGGCAGGTGCTGGAAATTTTACCTGGAGCAAGGGTAGGCTACCCCTGATAATTTGTTTGCCAGGACGCAACAGGTAGATGTTCCACTACCCCCCATTTTTTAGGCCAATAAGGTTACCAGCCCTGGTCTAGAGACTTGTGTCTCATATCTGACACACAAAATGACAACACTCAGAGATCAGTGGGAGGATCTGTCAGTCTCCTGGGACATTCTTATCATTGACCTCTAAGTCACCATGTCTCAACAAAAGGGATTCATAGAGGTGGTTCTAGTGTGAAATTGCTGAATTAAATTATGTTAGCAAATTCTATTCAATTCATGTAAATTTAGGATGAGTTTCTTCCCCATCACAGCTGTTAAATCAAAAAGGTGTCGTGTTACCAAAATGATGAGGAGGGGAAGAGATTTGTGGCATCTTAAAGACGGCAGATTTGTAGTGTCGTTAAGCGTTGGACTTCACTGAATGTGTGAACTATATCTTTGTTTGACTGGAAAATCATTTTTACAGAGTTCCATGAGGCCAAAAAGGTGGGGACCAAATTAACCTTATGTGGTAGGGAATCGCACAGACTGGGGGGCCATGGCTGAAAAAGCCCTGTTCCATGTACCTGTTTCATCTCTTTTCTTGTAGAGCAAGGCCTCTGTAGTAGATTGTAGATCATGGGCAGGCTTGTAATAAAACCTCACTAAAAAGACTGTATTTCAGAAGCATTTGTTAGACTGCCCTCCTTACAAACCACCTGCTTACATGTGAGTATAATTTAACTAGACAGCTGTGCACTGAACTGATGGCAAATCTCAGCCCTTTGTGCCTTGGTTGCCATCAAAGCTGAGAGTAATTTTTTTTCTTACTAGCTTAAGCACACCAGAGTGTGAGGAAGTACGGAACAGTTTCCCTTATGAGGAGAGAAGCAATAAAAGATCGAGTGTTCTGCTTTGCTACAGAAGCAAGAAGAGATGGAATCTTAATGTTAAGAAATTATTGCAACAATAGAAGCAAAACCATTCTCTAGCAGAAGTTCAGAGACTATATTATATTTTGGAGGAAATACAATCCACTATGCGTTAAACTCATTTGTCATACAGCTGTAGAAATCTCCTTGTTTTATGAGCTTTTAAGGAATGTTTTACATCAATTGCTTCATGATGACAAACACTACAAAAAGAAAGAAAGGAAGAAATTAGGATGCCTTCTTGTGCTTGTTTCTCAGATTCCAGGGAGGGTTACTGGATACATACTTTAACCCCACAGTTTTCCGAAGCAGGAGATGGCATTTTGGCACCTGATCTGAAATGCTCTGGGAATCTTCCTCCTCCAGCACCATCAGCATCACAATTAAGCAGCTGATGAATCTAGGTTCAGTTTTGGAAATTTATAATCAATAATAAAGTTTCCAAGACTTATAAAAGTCTTTGGGATGGGCGCAGATCACAGATGGCAAGTCTGGGTTGCACAGGAAGTGAGAAAATAGAATCAAAGTGTATGTAATGGGAACTTTATGAGTCAGTTCTTGTTTCAAGGTAATGAGGGTAAACTAAAAAGTTGATCTATTAATGTGAGACCATTACAGTCATGTCTGAGCAAGCCACACATGTTAACGTTGTTCTGCCGATGAAAAGATAAGGAACAAAGAGAGAAACAGGTTGTACAGAACAGGTTAAGAGCTGCTGTAGTTTCGATATTAGCATGTGACCTGATTAATGTTTACTAAGCTTCCTACGATGCCATCTATTTTTGTCTGTTAAAAAGAGTGTAAAACTGCTACTGCTTCTTTGTACACCTTGGGAAAACTTGTAATGTTTCTCCCTGCTCTAACGCATTAAAACTTTGTTTTTTCCTTTCATAGGCCATTTTTCACGGTTATCCAATTTATAATCAGGCCAAACAATAATGCTATATTTGACCAATCTCTGGGGTGAATATTCTGCTATTCCCTCCCCAGGGCTCACAATCTTAGTCCAGTTTTTCACCATACAATACAGAGGAGTAAAAATCTTTGGGTTTCCTCCACGCATCTCTGTGAGTGTAACTGTGTGCCCTTTTTGTATTACTAAGCAGGGATTCACCACTGGAATTACAACCCTCAGCCCAGTGACCATAATTCCTTTTCCAAAAGAAAATGATGCTTACCTGTATAAAGTTAGGACTGGTCCTCCATCTATCAATGCTCCCTCTAAGCTATGGAGTCCTGTGAGCAAAAATTCTACTTTCTGAGCTACTGGCATTAAAGTTATGAGCAAGTGATTTGGCTACTGCATAAATTAGTTTGCTCTGGAGCCATCCTTCCTGAGGTAAGACAAAAATGTGTGAGCCGGAAGCTAAAAAACTGTGAGCTAGCTCACACTAACTCAGGGAACACTGCTGACTACCATAATTTGTTCCAGGTTCTGTCTGTATAAACAAGACCCATGATGACACCCAGCACCCCAACAGCCTGCGGTCAGAAAGACGTGACCCATGGACAGCAGTGTTCCAATTAGGAAAAATGCACACACAAAGGGTCTTACCAATCTGCCGCCACCTCAGGCACTCTGGGTGAAATTGATATGGGTCCTGGCGGAGTCACCAATTCTGTTCACCCAATAGGGAGACCCTCATATGAACAAGCCAATAATACAAAACAAGGGAGACTGATTCTGGAAGGAATCAGTCTCCCTTGTGTGTATTATTGGCTTGTACATAGCATCTCCTTATTGGGCGAACACAGTTAATACTGAAGGGAAGGACAGAAGTTCTGAGAAAAGGTGGAGATTCCACACACAGAACCAGCCCATTGAACATGCTCTGCACATATGCATCAGTAAAGTTCAAAAGCCAGCGACTGACAGGCCTGAGATGGCCCAGCAGAGTGTGATGGCTTGCTTTGCAGCATTAATTTTTTAAAATATTTTTGTATCCTGCTTTTTCCCCAGTGGGGGATCTAAAGCATCTTGCAACATCATTCTCCCTTCTTCTATTTTATCTTCCGAACAACCACCCTGTGAGGTAGGTTAGGCTGAGCGAGAGTGATTGACCCAAGATTACCCCATGTGTTGCCATGGTAAAGTGGGGAATTGAACATGGGTCGCACAGATCATAGACTGGCACTCTAAACACGCCACCACACTCGTTCTGTGATGCAAGAATGCTCTTCTTCTACTGAGCTCATGCTTTCGTGCTTTTTCCTGTAGCCTCTGAATGGTGTTGTCTGTTGGCGACTAGTGATTTTCCAATTTGGGAAGGGGCAATAAAAGATGCATAACAGGCCAGGCAAGGATGGAGGGTGCCCCATTGGGGAAGGGTGTACTGCTCTTTATCCTTTTCCCCATTTTTTGATTGTGTGGTATTGGATGCTTCAGTGGCTAGTCATACCAAAGCATTTAATTTTGAAAGGAAACAGAAAAAGAGAGGAGGGCAGCATCAGAAAATGTTATGAATCTTAACCATCATGAATCAGTAAGAATCAGTTGGGGAAATGCAGCAGTTAGGGTGATAGTTTGTCTCCCAGCAGGAAGATGGTGTCACTGAGAACAATCATGCCCCATGGTAAAACATGCATTGTGTGAGTCAGAGATTACTGACAGAAAAGTGCCTTAAGCGTTCTAAATGCTCTTGTCAATGCTAAGTGTTATTAATTGGGGAAATGGAATTTGTCTGTTTTGGAATATGGTATCCAGGGCCGTGTAACTGCAATCTTCTAATTCTCTCTTTGATTCTTTCTGTAATACTCTGGCATTATCATAAACATTACAGGTAATGGAAAAGGAAACCATTATGCAACTGGCAGCAAGCTATCAAGATCTTTAATGTTGGCTCTTTCTTATTATGATCTCCCCCTCCCCCCCCACTAACATTGTGGAGTTGGCTGTTGGTGCAAGATAAACCTTTATCTTTTTAAAAAAAGAAGTGAGGAAGCTCCTGATGTTATTACAGCTTTGCCTGCTTGAGTTGATTTTCTGTTTTTCAACTTGTCTAGGCTAAATTTGGTGGAGGCCTTTGTGGATGATGCGGAACTACGGCAGTCTCTTCAAGAGGACCACCTCCGTCGCTTCCCAGACTTCAATCGGCTGGCAAAAAAATTTCAGAGGAAATCAGCCACTCTGCAGGACTGTTACAAGATGTACCAGGCTGTTAATCAGATTCCTAATGTGGTGAAAGCACTGGAGAAAAATGAAGGTAATGCTTCCTCTCCTGTGCTTTAAGTCTAGTAGTGGCCAGTTTCTAAGGCCTGTGGGACTGGGTGCATTAGAAGCCAGCTGCTTGGAACCTCACATGAACACGCACATGAAGCTGCCTTATACTGAATCAGACCCTTGATCCATCAACGTCAGTGTTGTCTACTCAGACTGGCAGCTGCTCTCCAGGGTCTCTTTCATATCACCTTTTCAGATCTTTTCACTGGAGATGCTGGGGATTGAACCTGAGACCTTCTGCATGCCAAGCAGATGCTGTACCACTGAGCCACGGCCTCAATCATTTCTGCACTTCCAAGGGCTGCTCATTCTCCCCCCAGTTATCCATTTAGGAGCCTAAGGGTGGGGATTAGCATGCCAGAGGAGGGTGTGAGTTTTCCCCAATATAAGATTTTTCTTTTCTAATACAACTAGAAGGAAACTGAGTATTTAAAGAATATAGAAACGAAGTTTCTAGTAGTTAAACCAACTATGTATCAATGTGATGCTGGCCAGAGCTGCAGCCCAGATCTCCCTATACTCTTGGGGTTGGGACAGACATCAAGGTGAGGGAAGACGCTGTGGGTGCCTCTGATGGCCACCACCTGCTTAAATTGAAAGTGGATTGTTCGCTCCTGTGGTGGTGATTAACATTTCCTCTAAATCTTCTGGATGATTAGATCTGGTTCTAGCTAAATTCATCCATTGTGTGAAACACAAGGTAACTGTGACTAGCCTGTCACTGCAGAATGTGAAATGCCTTCAGAAGCCATTTGGGTGTCATTCTAGGTTCATCAAGGAGCAAGTATTTACAGAATTAACAGATTTCTCAGTTGAACATAGATCTACATTGGGTTGATATATAAGTGGTTAAGGGTGGTACTGGGAAATATGCATGTTTCCTTACATGAAGGCAGCAAAACGTAATAGTTGGCAGAATTTCCTGATTCTCTGAGCTATGAGATCTCCATAAAGCCAAAACCTGCAGGATTTGATTTCTTTTCAGCAACTAGTGGACAGCAGCAGCAGCCTGTCTGTATAGCATACCACTGCTGCATGCACATCTGTTCCCTGGTGCCTTGGCCCTGGTAGTCCTGTTGGTTGTTTCTTTCTCATTACCTGCCTTTTTGGAACTGATCTCCTCTTGCTCTTTAGCGAGATGTTTGGCTTCTCTCCTGTGGCAAAAGATAGAAAATCTGTACACATCCAGATCTTACTGCTTTCCCTCCAAGAGGCTCTGTGCTTTGTGTATGGTGGGAGGGGGCAAAGGTGAGGCAGCAAACTGAACCTCTCTGGTGTGACAATCCATGTTTGAGCTCCCTGTATGCAGCTTCCTTTACTCCTCCCCTCCCCTCCCCCAGCTCTTGCCTTTCAGGGAAGCCTGCTGCTGTTTCTGCAGAACTCTTCTTGAAAGATGAGGCTTTCTGCCAGCGCTGCAGTTCCATCTTTTCTAAAAGCGTTCCTCTTCTAACCATCCACCTTCCATACCATCATTCTGCATTTGTTTTTTGTTCTTAGTCCAGTTCCTACAAAGCTTTCATTGGACATCAGTAAAGGTAGAAAGCCCCCTTTTAAGAGGCTGGCTTAGCTGATGATATAGGGCAAGCTGTTGAAGTGCTTTATGCACTGGTATGCCATGTTCACTGGCAATGGATCTGTATTCAGAAAGGGGTAAAAATGACTTCAGTATCTTTCATCTCATGGCTGATCTTATTTTGAAATACAACATTCAGGAAGTTAAAGTGGGTTATGCTGATCCTTGTTCTCAAGACACAATAGACTTTATACAGAATTCAGACCTGCAAGTCCTGTATTGAGCCTGTACCCCACCCCACTCGTAACATCAAGTTCAGCTCATCCTGTGTTCTGATGCATGCTTTTCCACCCTGGCCAGTGGCAGTCAATATGTGTTCGCAGTGGGAAAAGGCTTATCATAATGAAGCCCTTCTGTCTCTTTAAGAACAAGATTTGTGATCTACTGAGAGATGCACTTTTGAAATACCAGTTGGAAACAGTTTGAAAATCTACCATTTCTTCCCCAGGGATCTAGAAATAAAAATCATAGAATGGGAAATCTGATGAACTCTGCAACATTAACTGGAAAACATACATTGAGTGAGATTGGTCCAATAGATAGTGTATGCCTCAAAGCTGGGTGTCATATGTTGCTGTAGTCCTCACTACTGTCTTTCTCAGCATAATCTGCCTTGTGGGATGATTGTGTCCTGGATCCAAATAGATCTAAGCAAGAGTGGCAGAAATGCAGGTGATCCTCTGATACCTACAGGTGCTCGTCTTCTTTCTTCTCGCCATGATGGTCATTCATGATGGTCATTCTGGGTCCAGGCTTCAGGCGATAAACAAAGCAAATTTCAAGGAGTATTTTGTGCACTGGAAAGCACTATGGAAACTAATAATAATAATTCTGTTTTCATATTTCTCTTAATTCCCAACTGTAAAGCAAAACATTCAATTTAATTAGTGCCTATGCAGGGAGATTTAGGATTCTGCTTTGTTTGTTTTTGTTCAAGCTATTTATAACTTGCTTTTCAACTGGATAGGTCTACAAAGCAGCTGCCTTGGTGATTAGTAGCCATGGCTTGTACTATAATTTACAGTCTCATTGTTTCTGCAGAATTCCAAGAATCTCAGCTTGCTTTAGAAGTACAGCAACAACAACAAAAATGTAAGCACAGGTTTTTAGTCCTCATGGCTGCAGAGAGAGAGTGCGAAAAATGTGGGTAGCTATTGCTAAAATCTTTTTAAAAATTGCAAATATCTGGTGGTTCACTATTGCAGCAGTTTTGTCAAATAATGTTGTTTTCATTTTATACACAAGAATGTTTGTGAGACAGTTTGCCTAATACATGACTCTGCTTCTGAGCCACTAATGAGATGCAATCCAAACCAGCATCTACTATTTATTTTTTGCCACAGCCTTGGCATCCCTGGTAGGTGGAGCCAGTCACTAAACGGCAGCCCAGCCAGTCACAGTTACAGGCAGTGGGATGATTTACAGATTTGCTGGTCAAAAGTGCTACAGAGAAAACTGATAATTGGATTAATAGCGTGGTTCTATGCAGCCTTTCTCCAAAAAAGTCACACTGTAGTCAGTATAGCTTAGTTCTAGATAAATGTGCATAGGATTATTCTAAGTACATTAAAGTTTTTGCTTTTAAGACAACATAAACATTATAACTTCAGTGCCTCTCAACCCAGTTTAAGTACCCACCTCTCTACCTATTACCCTCTGCTAGTCCTGTAAAGAAAAAAGAAAGAAAAGGTTCAGAATCTTTAAAAAACACACCCCAAAGTTAATGTAGGTTCAGGCGTCCTGTACTGTTTTACATCTACAAGGGTTGATTAATTTACTGTAAAAAAATCCAGCTAATCTCAAACATGAATGCAAGTGTTTATCTGTGATGATGTTAATTGTAGAAGGTGCAGATTCATGAAGATGTGCTGAAACAAAAAAAAGAAAGAAAGAGAGGTTAAATACAAAGTAATTTTCTGAAGCCTGTATACTTTGCCTCGTTCATTAAATTTCAGAAAGTGACTTCAGAGGATCTGAAATAATGTCAGATCATTTTGGAGAGCTAAAATGTCATTTTCAATAATAGGTGAATGTTGAGAACAAAGATTCAGTCTTGAATGCAGTAAATTTCAGGGACATTTTATAGACAGTTTTGAAAGGGAAATTTAAAAAGCTCAGAGTGATTTTAAAACATAAAAGTAGAGGAGTGAGTGGGTTTATTTGAAAGAAGAAAAACAGGGAAAGTTAAGCCTTTTTTTTAAAAAAAGAAAGGGCAGGTAAGTAAATAGTGAGGACACTTGGGGATGAAAGCGCAGTAGTCATACTGAGGAAGTGAAAAGCTGTGCTCTTTTCTTCCCCTGCACCTGCATCCCAGTAGTATTTCTGTGTCATTCCTTTTAGCATCACAGAGTGGAGGGGACGAATGGCTGAAGGATGGCTAGTTTCACAATGGTGGAGAAAAGTGGGAAGGGAGTTGAATGGGAAGCCTCTGGAGTAGAGGGTGCAGTGGGCCATCACGTTGAGGGGTGAGCCCAAGGCTCCCCCAGATCTTGGCCTGCTCTTATCTCTTATCTTTTCTTGGAGCATGCTGGGCTTTTTCAGGGGCAGAGGGCCTTGGCTCAGTGAGTAGAGCTTTGCATGCAGAAGATCCCAGGTTCAGTCCCTGGCATTTCCAGGTAAAAGGATCAAGCAGTGGATGACATGAAAGCCCTGAGCAGTTGCCCCCGTCAGAATAGACAATACTGACCTCAATAATCCAGTAGCCTAATTCAGTAAAGGCAGCTTTATGTGCTCAAAATGAGGGCTGCATGTAGAGCACCATGAGAACATGCAGAAGGGGACCCGGGGGGGGGGGGGAGAGCTGCTCCATTGTCTGCACTCTGAGATTAGGAAGCATATCTGGGAGGTTGTGTTTGGTCCATGTAGTTGTTCTTCCCTCACTTGCTGCCAGCTGGGGTGGCCTTTTCAAGTGTCTGCTTTTGCTTTGGGAAAAGGCTTTGTGCATTTGCACCCCCACTCAGAAGGGCCTCATTGTGTGGAGCTGTTCAACAGTTCTCCTGTTCAACAGCAGCTGGATGTATGTGTCATATCATGGAGCCAGAAACCTCAGTGCTGCTGATGTGTTGAAACCACCAATCAACAAGAGGACTGTTCCAAACATTTGAAACAGAAGTTGTGAGAATAGACATCTATCAGTGGCTACAAGCCATAGTGACTGAGGCACTAAACCTCTGAATCCTAGAGCCAGGGTGCTGGACTAGATGGACCATTGGCCTGATCCAGCAGGGCTCTTCTTATGTTCTTAAGAGAAGGTTTTGTTGTTAATAATTATTAGCCATTCAGTCGCATTCGACTCTTGGCGATTCTATGGGCCAGCTCTCTCCACGTTTTCCTATCTTGTACTGTTTCTTTGAGTCGTTCCATGCTCAGGCTGGTGTCGACTTCTATGGTGTCTGTCATGCCGGGTGTTG